CCTGAAGAACAACGTTTTGCTAAAGCAACAGACCATAAAGTAAGAGGATTAAGCGTTTCAGCTGTGGCGGGCAACTAGTTTTCTTCAAATCTATTCGAAGCAAATCCTTTCCAACTTATGCGATCACGTTCCAGGGTATAATTCCCTTCAGTCATCTACGAACAAAAAATATAAATCTTCTATTTTGTCTCCTACCCTCGTCAAAAACTATATTTTGCTGGCTAACTCGTCGGCTATTTCTTAGCATCTTCCAGTTCAAGGGTGGAATAAGTGACTCTAGTATGGTGATGGCGCTACTTCATTCGATTGAATCCCTGGGCTGGGTGAATCTCAGCTTCCTTCCAAAGCCAAAAGTCGAGCTAGCGCTGACACACCCAAGCGGGCTTCATTCTTTGGTCAGAGACCAGCACTTGGCACTGTACAATCGACTAGTCGACCGAGTGCGTTCCTATGGTTAGAGCAGTAGACTAGTTGAAAGTTGGCGTTCTATCAGGTGGTATTTTTCCCACAAAAACGTCGGCCCCCGAGAAACTTTTATTGGGAAATTTCTGCTTGATAAAGAGGCTGGGAATCCCGAACAATTGAAAATCTCGAACATCGTTAGCAGTGCGTTTTTCTTATTGTCCCGAGTTGTAGTGCCGAGAAAAAGGAAAATATGTCTTTTTAGAATCATTCGAAACAGGTATAATTCGCGCTTGAAGTTTCAAAATGAAGAAAGGAGATGATATGAACTCAAGCGTCAAGATTCCCGCGATATTGTTGTTATTAACTCGAACAGCCTTTTCAAAGTGCACAACCACTTCATGCAATGAACACTTTGGGCACTGAAGCCAATACAAATGTAGTTAATAATACTGGCGATCTTAAGGGGAGCGAGGGGATCACATCACCGATCCTACGAATGGACAGCTCACTGGCATATGGTCCTTTCTGTGACCGCTCTGCACATTTGCAGCATTTCACGTTTCTCCCGTGACGGGTTCGCTTCCTAAGACTCCCATTTCCCTAGTGAGTGGGTAGCTGTTAGAACGTTGGCGACGTCAGCCCAGTTGCCCTGTTGACATGGCTTTCTCTTCCAAAAATTGTGCAGCAGTTATACGTGCAGCGTTCGCCCACCAGTGTACGCTCTTTGATAACGGAGACTTGGCCCAAAACATCATCGGCATCAGAGTTTGGAATAGATTCGCTCAAAAAAAAGCCAGTAGAGTCACAACCATCATGAGAGTGTTTGAAACATCAACCCAAAACAAACCTTAACAGCCACTAGAGGATCCTCCGTTGCAACGACATAGGTTTCTAACGCACTTGTTTTCGTTGATGAAGGCTGTGGCTTGGAGACCGTCCTGCAATAACCATTTTTTCAGAATTTGGATATGAACATGTAGCCCTCGGATTTCCCCTGGGATGACATATATCCGTCCACATATTTGGAGATTGACAAGACCTGATTCTTACTCAGCATACAAAGGAATAAAGCAATGAAATTATTGACAGTAAACAAGAAATGGAATCACCGTGTATGAAGGAGAGCTTCAAAAGCATCAGGCTTCTGTTCATTAACCGCATCCGAGTACTTCTCAAAGTTCTTATCAACCTGTAAAAAGCAGTAGAATAGGTGCTATGAAGCACATCAAACTCGCTAGTAATTCCTGATGGAACCACTAGAACTTTTCATTTCATTTTTTTTCACTCCGAACAGAGCCGTATTGAAGTGCAACAAACCCCAGCAAAGCCCTCACAACCTCCCTCTGATAGCGTGACCCGCGCCATTTGGCGGAATTTCCCAAGTCAAATCTATGAATCGAGTCTTGGAAGAAAGAGCTGAAAGATGAGTAACCTTACGTTTATTTTATACACGAATATGGGTATAAGTGTATGTTTTTACTTCACGACTACTCGCTTTGAGTGCGTTCTTTACAGCAGAGCTGTGAGCGTTTCGAGCGTATACCAGCGTCTGTGCAGCAGCGGTTTGAGTGATCTGGGCGTCTGCCCGGGTTTGAGCGCCGGTCAGCGTCTTCAACCACAATGGATACCTACACTTTCTTAGTGGCTCAAAACGCGGACAAAACTATCAACACACTTTCGCGCCCGGCGAGAATCGAGCGAATAGTTTCGAAGTGTGAACCCGCTCCCTCCTCGGCTCTATTGCTAAAAATAAAAATAAAACACTCCAAGAACAATAAAAGAGCGATTATGGGAAACAATGTAAAGCTTCCACTCGCAATACAGTGCTTTAGAAGAAACGCAAATCCTCCGAAAAAAGTCTCTTAAACCTTCTCGGGACACAGTTCCTGTTTATTTCCCTTTTGCCGTAAGATTAGAAGCAAAGCATGTGGCAAAAAGTTCGGGACCGTGAACACATTGTGAATTTACAATGATTGAAAAAGTTTACAAACTAGCCTTTTTTCCCAAGAGATAATCCTCGCGATTTACGAGTGACTTAGCTCCTTCGTACATCCATCCAATGTCTTTGTTGTCGGTCATTGTTTATTGCAGTAGTTTACCTGAAGAAACTTCTGTAGCATATGAATTATTCGAAGCAGTTCGACTTTCTAAAAGATGTACCACGAGAGAGTAATTTTGACTAAAAAGGGTTGTGAATTCAGCAGACGATACATCGCTAAAATATTAATGAAATATCATCACCGAAAATTCGAACTCCTGAGGCAACAGTAGAGTTTACAAATTCACCAGTTTTGATTTAAAAAATTTGCCAATTTTAAGTCACAAATAAAAACTCGCGAAAAATAATTCCTACGATACAACACACACTAAACAGCAGGTGCAAGTGTTGTAACGCGACAAGTAGTTCGCCACGTTGCTGGAACCACCGGGATTATTTCGTTCCTCATTGTGAGGTGCCGTCTTGTTATTTTTAATTAGTTAAAGAAAAACCGTGTGTATGCTTTAAGAGTATGTGTATGGTGTTTCTTCAAGAGAACGTCTTTCATT